AGAAGAGACAGAAATCCTATAAAAGCACGCTTTCTAATTTCGCAGTATAGTTCATCATGAATTGATAAAGTGACGTCGATAGTGAGTAAAGAAAGTATGTGCTGATTTTTCATTTCATCTTCACAACTGATTTTTCTCTGTAAATAATTCTGCAGTATCAGGTATTGCTGTAAGTTCTGACGGAGATACAAAGGCTTGTTGATGCTTTCAAAAAACTGTTTTATTTTTGATATTTTATGCAGTTACTATGACGATCTTGAATAAATTCTTTGATAAGCTTACTGTTACGTACTACTTAAGAGTTGTTGAATCCTAATGAGTATCTCGGTCAACTAACTTAGTACTTTTTATTGATCGGTTTTGTGAATTAACTTCTTAAATATGAGTTGAATAAAGATTTTGGACATCATCTTTCTTTCTTTATTCTTCCACTGAATATGTTCATTCGTCCTTAACTCAAAGGCAAATATCTGTCAATCTGCAATATTTTATTAATTTAAAATTCGTTCAATTGCTTTCTCTTAAGAACTTTGTTGTTTTCGTTGAGAAGCACATGTATCATTGCAATGGCCTTTCTTAAGATGTAGGACGACTTTCATGTTAAAGAGAATTGTGAATGAATCCCGTTGGACTGGTAGCAAACTCGCTTGGATAGAGATTAGAAAGAGAATTTCGATTCATAGAAAATTTTTTCAAAATTTTTATTGTTTGTAATTATCTTTGAAAGTTGATTTTTTTCCTGCTTTGGTTGTTGAGGATGACAATCAATTGTTTGCATACATTAAAGCTCATCAAATAAGTTTCTGAACTATATGTCGTGAAATTCACGTAGAGTTTATGGAGGATCAAGTTCTGGAAATATTTCATAAAACGGATCTGGATCAAAGTATTCTGAATCTGATGGATTGCAACTGTCAATATGCAGCTCTATTCCTCACGCACTTGCATGTTTGGAACACTGCAGCATCCTTTCTCAGAAAGAAAGAAATCCTCCTTTTTTCCTCCTTTCTTAAGAGTAATCCTCCCAAAGACTCGGGTCATAAATCCTCCTGATTCCTCCTTTTCTTCATATGGCCGCTAACATACCAGAAAAGCACTAACGCCCACACCCTTCAAGTCTTCGTTAAGATTATCATCATTAATTTCTGCACATTTTAGTAATTTACTTTTCAAAAACCACAAAGAACTTTTAAAAATAAATCAACTTTTATTTGAGTTTCATCTGGTACATCTTTCAGCTATTCAACTTGGAGATTTATTAAATAAAAGTGAATCTACCATTTGATACATTGATACTTTTATTAAATAAAACCAACCAAACAAATAAAAATCAAAACATAGACTGAATCAATAAATACATGTGAAATATATCTTGCCTCTGTATATAACATTATGTTGTTGAGTATAGAATTTAGTAAAACTTTTAGATGTTTGTTGCTTTAAGTTAAAAACAAAACCAAATTTTTCATAACATATCAATAATGATGATAGAAATGACTCTTACCTCAACTGGTAAAACAAGCTTTGATGATGCAAAAAATGGTAAATTAATTTATCAAGAACAGCTGTAAAACCCTGTTCACTACTAAAAGTTTCTTCTATAAGTGTAAAAAAGCTTTGTATGAATTTCAAGAATAGTTTCAACATAATGTTTTGGATCCTAGTCGATCAAACAAATAAATATAACAATAAATTAGAACGAATGAAAAAGAAAAAATTCTTATGACATTAATTGTAGTACTACTGATACGTTCAATAGAATCAATATGCGTTTCACGAACATGATCTTCAAAGATTGTTTTAAATTTATTAATTGAATTCGGTACTCAACTAACTAATCTGAATAATAATGGTAAATCTAAAAAAAATAAATTAAATGAATTCTTTAATAACAAAAATTAACTTTTGTTTTTTCTTTATTTACCTGAATCTTTTAGCTTCGACATAGATAACTTCAAATTGATCACAAATGAATACCTATTCGACTATTTTAATCAATGGTTCTAATGTTGACGAATGTAAATATGATTGCACACGATCTTTTTCTCCATCAAGATATTGAGCTACCTATTACAAATACAATTAAATGTTTCACCATTTTTATAAAAGAAAAAAAAAAAGTAAATATTTTTCAAATATTCCGTTACAGAATACTAAGCAAGAAAACTAACTACAATCTTGACGATAAAATTGTTCAGGTTGTTTAAGACATGGTACCTCAAAGTCATCTTTATAAATAGCCAATGTTGCAGATGTTATTGGATGAATTCTATATAGTATAGATGAGTTTACCATGTAATCAAGTTTGACTAAAATTTTCCAACTAAACTTCAAGATAAAAAGATTATTTTGATCTTTACTGTAACTTGATACGGCATCCCTAATCACTTCAGTATTAATTATTTTATTTTGATGTTCAGCTTTGATTATTTGAAAACATGCTGATGTTAGTTTTCTCTGCAATAGTTGAAAAGTGAAAAAGCTGACAAACTTCCATCGCCATCTAAAATTGTATCACTTATATAATATATTTGAAAAGAGGGTGAGTGCCGGTGTGGGGTATGCGTGTGAGTTGTGTGATGTACGTGTGAGTGTGAATGTGGGCTGGGTGCCGATGTAAAGAAGGGGCTCAAACTTCACTCAGATCTACAGCTATTAGCACACACACCCACAGCCACACCTATACCCAACCACACCAATACCCGCACACCCACACCACCCACACCCACATCCTCTTTGATAGCCCTCTGCTCTTTTTAACAAAAAAAATTTGATTGATTCAGAGGTCAGCAATATAGTCTAACACTGTCTGAGACTCTTCTAAAGACTTTTGCATCGCTTGTTAATTAATGGTGAAATCTAATTTGAGTGTAAATGTGAGCATGAATATGAAGAAAATACGCAATAAGATCTATATTCACATCCTTAGCTGAATCGACGGTGATCGGTTGCTGAAAAGCAAGAGTTGTGAGTAGCAGGTCGATTTGTATTTAGAGGTGTAAGCCATCCAGCCGAGCCGCCGCCGCCGCCGCCGCCGCCGCCGATTTTCTTCTGAAACCAGCCGCAGCCGCCACAAAATCATAGGTGATTTTAAAAATTTCTCAGCCGCCGCCGTGAAAAAATTGAAATCAGCCGCTGCGCCGCGGGCACGAAAAAAGAATTTTTATAAAACAAGCCGCCGCCGCTGACATCTATACATGCGATCAAAAATTTTTGCGTTATTTTCACCACTTGACTTTGTGGGTGGATGGGCATGTGGGTGTGGGTGTGGATGTTGACCTTAGACTAACCAACACCCACGCTCACCGACATCTACACACCCTGTCGGTGTGGGTGAACTCAGAGAACATCCACATCCACCCTTTCCGGAAAATGTTGGGAAAATACAAATGATTCATAATAAATATAATTTATTAAAAAAAACGTAACATTTAATTTTTTTGTAGTTTTTTTGTGTCGTATTTTTTATAATCTTATGCTTGAAAGAGCGTATATTTTGTATAGTTGTTCCCGGTATCACTAATTATGTATTTTTCATTGTGTCTTAGTGTAAATTACGTTTAAACTATCCTCCTGCAATAGAAGACTCAGACTCTTCTATTATGTTCCAGCGTAGAGATTTTGCAGGGGGGGGGGGCCTTGTATTATGTCCCATATTTTTTCCAATTTCTAAGTAAAAAGGTATTCCAGCAAAACGAAGTCGATTTTTAGGATTTCCATCAGAATTTTTCAGAGCCTAGACAAAATTATGAACTTATTCTCTTAAGTTTTTCTGCTCAAAATTTTGAAAGCTGGGCATATTTTGACGAAAATACATTTTTTCAAGTTTCTAATTTGCAACAAATTAATTATTCAAAGAGAGGTCTTGTATTACGAACGGTTTCTTCAGGGGATCTTCTATTGTAGGGGAGGGTTTACTTCATGTATCCTATGTTAAAATAGTAATAAGCAAGTATTGAAATAAATAGAAACATCTTACTCTCAAAAGAATATCTCTATTTTAAACTTGGCCGCCGCCGCCGCACTAGAACTCATAAATAACAGCCGCCGCCTCCGCCGTGTGGAAAAATTTGGTCGATTATGGCCGCCGCCGCCGCTGGTTAAAAATCGAGAACTATTGCTCGCCGCCGCCGATCAACTCCTCGGCTTACACCTCTATTTGTATTCTTCAAATACAGATCAACCTATTTTTTTCGATGGATTCGTCGACAACCTCTCTTATAGCTCCAGATAATTTAAAGAAGATGCAAATAAGTTAAAAACGAGTGTAGTAACGCCTGATTTGTAAAACTTATGTAATATTTCCTGTTAAAGCATGAAATCAACTTACAAATAGAAAGAATTCGGTCGTATTTATCCCGATTCGGTCTGAAATTACATAAAGTGATTAAAAAAAGCAAGCATCTTGAATAAAAGTACTATTATCTAAGTTGACAAATGGAGAAAAAAGAACACTGTTTCAATTAATTTTTCAGTTTATCTCTTAAGTTTGCTTCGATCGATTTGTCTCTTCCTTCTGTGTTGTCACAGACACACTATTCAATTCGTTCGAATCTTTTTTGGAAGACCATTTCAACGCTGGTTTTTCATCAGGATATGTAATGATGGACTGGTTGCTCAATTCGGGCAAGGAAGGTCTTGCCTAAATTTTATCATTCGACTCTTGTTGATGGTCAATACCGACAAGTTTTTCGTGTGTAATTTTGGCAACTATAACATTCCCAGTGAGTCTTAGTAAAGCGTTGGCAACATCACATAGTGCTTTTATAGTAGCGGCCTTCTCCTCAGCAGCACTCTGGCGCTGTTGTATGCGGAGCGGTTTTAAGAGTTCACTTAACTGCGGCTGATATGTTTCTTCGAACTCACGTCGCACCTAGAAAAAAACCATTAAATTTAGTCCGTTGTAGAAAATCTAGTCAAACTGTTACTTCATCACGTAAGGCCTGTTTTTTTGCTTCAATTTCTGTATTTACTTGAGCTAAAACAGCTTCCTCCCTTTGTCAAAGTTCCTCTTCAGCCTTTATGAACATCTCATTAGTGTAGAATGGTGTTTGATTGTTATCTAACATTTGTCGTACTATAGTGATTAGTGTACGCACTTTATCGTCGCGCTCTTCTTTTCCTGCACGATTGTTCATAGCTAAATAACGATTTTCACATTGAGCAACGAGATCTTTAAATGGTTTAGTTGATCGCTCAATGTATTCTTTGATAGTACTCCCTTCATATAGAATATCATCTTCTCTTGTAATAATGAGAATGCAATATTTGCCGGCATCTTTTCCAAACATATCATTAATCAATTGAACTGTTTTCTGTTCTTCGTCTGTGAAACGACCAGCAGACACTACAATGAGAAATGCATGTGGTCCTGGAGAAGCAATTTTCGTTACTGCATCACAGATTTTTTGTTTTATGACACTAAAGTCGGCATGAGTATCGAAGAGACCTGGAGTGTCAAAAATAATAATATTAGTACCATCGAATATGCGATCTGCAGAACATGAACGCCGTGTATGAGATGAAGATCCTGAACTTGTAGAAAAAGCTTGACGACCGCACAATGTATTACCAAATGAACTTTTACCTAGATCAATGAAAATTGTATCTGACAGTTATATAAACTAGCTAAACTAGCAGATAACAAGTGAACATTTCATCAGCAATTATTAATCCTTTCAGGACCGTGCTACAAAGGTTGTACCAACTATTTATCCAATAGAGAAAATGTTTCGTTTATACACAAGTATTAAATTTTCTTATACTTAGCGGTCATAGGGTGCTTCGAGTGGCATATTATACGTATCTTTTTGGTGTGGGTGTGACTGTATTTTTTTTATATACCCACACACTGTAAAAAAAATTTCATAGAATAATAAATTCTAGTGCTTCAGGAAAGTCTTCCTAAACCCTTAAAGGGTTTTTATGCGAAAGGGTTTCTGAGAAAAAGGGTATTTAAAAATAAAAAGGGTTTATTGTTTTGCTCTCACTTGAAAAGGATTTATTATTCTACGGTTATGGGTTTATTGTTCTACTCTTTTATGAAAAGGTTTAGCATTCTACACCTACATGCAAACGGTTTATTATTCTATGCGTAACAGTAGATTATTCTACCTGTATGTAAAAGGGATGTGTGGGTGTACATAAAGATCATTTTCTTCTATCACATCCATAGTGAGTGTGAGTGTGCACTGTACACTGTAAAAAAAGGGCAGAATAATGAACGCTTGTCATTGATTTTTTTTTCTATAAACCCTTGAAGGGTTTATGCGCACTCCATATACCCTATGAAGGGTATATGAGCCTAAGGGTTTGTGATCGTAAGGGTATATT